TTTTAATGTATATATAGGTATATATTATTACAATTGTATTTTTCTTACATGACAATGCAGCCTTAAGAAGTTTCCATTGCAGCACATAAAACTCTATACAATCTTTAATCAGTAACTAGTATTTCATAATATTACATACCATAGTGTATTTACGAACTTCTCTGTTTTTATAATTTAGATGAAACTTCCAATATTTTTGTATTACAGGCAATGCTGTTTTGAACTTTCTTTTAAATAAATCTTGTAAACGGACGTTAAGCTCCTAAATGCGGAACAGGTCAAAACTGAAAAGCACTGGCAAATTGCCCTCATAAGTCTATAAAGATTCACAGTCCCAGCAATAATTAAGAAAATGTGTATTTCTCTACAGCTTCTCAATCATTGAATATCATAAATTTATTGTTAAATTTTACCAATCTGTTAAAAGAAACATGTTATTTTGATGTTATTTAAAATTTGCATTTTTCTTTCCAGTTGAGCTTTGCTTTGATTTAGTTTTTGGTCTCCTTTATTTTTTTCTGAGAATTGCCTGTTCATATTTTTTACACATTTTCATAGAGTTGTTCGATGTTTTCTCTTACTCACTTATTTTCTTAGTGACTATATACTATGACCCTTAATCATTTGATGTTATATTTGTTGTAAATATTTCTCCCAATCTATCCCAAACATTGGATTTTGCTTATGGTATTATTTAACCCATGAATCTTTACATTTTTATTCAAGAATTGATAAACTTTAAAACATATTTTTTCCTCGAGATCTGTTAAGATATTTGCATTTTGCTTTTCTTTAATTTGTTCAAGTTACAGATGTTAGTAATACATTTCCTAACCTAAACTCCTGGATACTGATGACAGCTAATGCTGACTGAGTGCTTCATATATGTCAGGCACTATTCTAAGCACTTTACAGAAATTACCAACCAACCAGTAGTTGTCCATTTGATATGTCAGAGTAGAGCTGTGCTCTATAGGGTTTTCAATAGATGATTTTTCCTAAGTAGATCATGTGGCCTTTCTTCTGAGGCCCCCTTGTGTGACCTCTGGCCTCCAACCTTTAGGTTAGCAGCTGAGCTACCCAACTATTTGCACAACCTGTGACTCCCACGGGAATTACTGACCAAGCCAGAGGACAGAGATATTTGTGCAGTGAATTCGTGGGAGAACCAGCTAGTCTTGTTCCAGGACATACCTTCTTAACCACTGTGCTATACTTCTCATTATTTTCTGTTTAATAATCTAGAAATCTGGCAGGAATTTATATGTTCACCATTCTATAAATGGTGAAACCAATTCATATTTTTGTGCCTGTTTAGACAAAATATTGCTTTGTTCATGCTTTATAACTCCACAGAAAGTATTGGTAAGAGTTCTGGAGCCACTTCAAGTACACTTAAATATAAATCCTCAAATAAAGGATAGGAGACTAAACTCATGTACATTGTAAATGTGCTTCAGATATAGTATCTAAGAGTAAGTAAAATATGCACTTGACATCCTTACATTTATGAATATATAAAAATAAAAATGATAGATTATCGTCTTATATCAATCTAACGTGCTAGCCAAGGGAAGACACGTTATTATTTAATAAACTACTTAGAAAAAATGCTGCACAGAAACTATAGGACAATGCTTCCTTACCTCTTTGATTTTTTTTTAAGTATATTAAAGGGTCTATTTTATACTCCACTAGACAGTTTTTAGAAAAGGTTATAAACAACCTAAATGTCTGTTAGTTGGAAACTGGTCAAATATGTGGTGGTGCATACATAAAATCAGATAGTTTGCACCATGAAAAAGAGCTAAATCTAAAAGTTCTGATAACGGCTTCAGCTAAAACCTGGTGTGAATTGAAAAAGCACTTGGTCAGTATAGTATATTACCACTTGTGTAAAAATAACTTTATCTATGCACTTTCACACATATATACTGCTATATGCATAGAATATCTCTGGCAAAAAATACTTTTAAAATATGTATTAGTGGTTGTCTCTCTGATGAATAACTAAGCGTCCTGTAGGAAGGACATGAGAAGGAATGGGAAGAGACTCACTTTTCCCTATACAACGTTTTGTGGTATCCTGTACTCTGTGATTGTGCTAGCCGATTAAAAAAAATGATTATAGAAAACAAAAATAAAAATCTTTATTTTTGTTTTCTCTATGCTAGTCTTTCATTTCTTTTCAGTGATGTTTGTTTTATCCTTTAAAGTTAATTCTATGTTGGTTGGTGTTCAGAAAGGAAAACAAAAGTGAAGTCCAAATCCCCACTAATTCTCTTTTCTCTGTATTCTGTTTGATTTTGTCATAGATTTGAACCAATTGTTAGCATAATAAAAATATATTTTCATCTTACATCAAATCTAACATGCTAGCCAATGGAAGATACATTATTATTTTATAAACTACTAAGAAAAAATGCAGTATAAAAACTATAGTGTAATGCTTCCTTATATCTTTGATTTTTTTAAATTTTAAGCATATTAAAAAGTCTATTTTATACTTTACTAAACAATTTTTAGTTTTATAATTAAATCAAAATATTAGGCAAATATTTTATTTGTATCTTCCTAAAACTTGTTCTCGTATATAGTCCAACCCTCCTGATTCACTTTTCTGCTCAGAATAGTCAATACACATGTCTTTCAAAATAGTCTCACAAGAGCATTGGGGTTGTGCATTATTTATTAAAATAGTGGATTAAAGAATCACAAAAACAAACAAGCAAATGAAACGACAAATTTTTTGGAGCTGACAAGTAGCCATCTTTACTATTATATAAAGCTTTCTAACTTGAAGCCACTGATCAGAGAATGTTGCTAAACTTGTCTGAAAGACCAAGTCCCACAGACATTTGATTCCTAAAAGTAAAAAAAAAAAAGTTTAGACACAAGGAAATGTGACATGAGTGCATCCTCAGGCAAGTGCAACAATAGCAAACCTGCCATCTGACTGCCGTGTTTTATCGCCATTGGTATTTTTGTGTTCAAGTCTGAGCATTTCTAGGGTCTGTTAAATATATGGGCCACTGAATTTTTATTAGTTTGTTTTGTTTTGTTTGCAATCCTAATTTACATGCTTCTTAAGAACATACCTCAAAGTTGAGTAACTTTAAATAAAACATTGTTTTTCTTGGCTCTTTTCTTTTGCATTGACATTATTTTTCCTTGTATGAATAAATATTTATACATTGCAGCCTCTCAACAATCCTGAGCTATGTTCTCTTTCAGATTAGAAGAAACGGAGTATCAGTTTGGTATCATCCTTTGTCATACATGTCATCCTGGAATTTTCATTCACTATTAAGAATCTCCCAGGATAACATAGTATTTTCCACCAAAGAATCATCACTCTAATAAATTTTCTTTTAGATGAGAAGAAATTTGTTACCATTTTTTCATCATCCCAGTTAATGATGGATAATGCAGTTTATTGAGTGTGTTGGGGGAGGAGAAGGAAGACTATCTGATTTTATCTAACAATTACATTCACTGTTAACAACAACAACAAAAAGACCTAAATAGAACATTTTCTTCTAAGGTCCTGTAACTTCAATATTATCAACCAGTTATTTCGTATTGACTAGAATTACATTCAAAGTTCAGGGTGTCAATTACTATAGTTCATTTCTTTGTCTCGTTTGCCTCTGGAGATGGCACTATTAAAAAGGCATATCAACAATGGTTGGGATACACAGCTTTGCAATAAACCTACCTTCCAGCAACTGTCCTGGCAGTTGATGTCAATTGTCCGTATCTTCTTTTTCTTCTTTTTTTTCCCCTCTGTGTCGTATTTCTAATCCGCATTAAGAATGCATCTTTCTCATCCACTCCATCGCGCTTCACCTTTTATCACCACCAAATGCTTTTTAATATGCTTGTATCCCCATGCTTATAGATTTTCACAGAAGTTTATAGTTTCTTCACACCCAACCCCTTCTTTTTGGTAGATTTTCTTTTTACAATATAGATCCATAGACTATTAAGAAAATTCTGAAAGAGAAATAAACTACCAGGTTTCCTCCTTTTCCTTCTGCTCATTTTTTAGGTATGAAACTGCAACAAGCTTTCTACTTTTCATTAATTAGAAAAAATTACACATATCCTCATATATTTTGTTGTTGTTAGTTGGTATCAAGTCAGTTCAGACTCATGATGACCTTAAGGATAACAGAACAAAATGTAGCAATTATGCAATAATGAATTTGAATTTTACCTTATAAATGAAAATATCATGCATATATGTTAAAATAAGTCTTTTCATTTAAACTATTTTCTTGAAAACGTGGCTATGTTAAAAATCAGTTACCACATTATAGATAAAATATTTTATACAAATTTATAAAGTTTTAGGACAGTAACATATTTCACATATAAAATGTTATTATCCAAATATTATAATGGAAGCAATATTTCTGATGATTTATTTCAAATAAAACTTTTATTTATAGTTTTCAAAAGGCATGGCTAGTTAAAAACAGTTTATGTTTATTGTTTAACAAAATAATTTTCACTTCTATTTATTCCAAAAGGAACTGTACAATAGAAACTAAAATGCAAACTTCTTTATCAAAAAAATGAACACAATTTCAATGACGAAAATAGAGACAAAATGAATTTTTTTCTGTTTTTTTTTTTTTTGCATGAAGATACGTTGTTGTGTGCCATCAAGTCGATTCCTAATCATACTCATAGCGACCCTGTAGGACAGGGTAGAACTGTCCCATAGGGTTTGCAAGGAGTGACTGATGGATTCGAACTGTGACATTTTAGTCAGCAGCCTGAGCTCTTAACCATTTTGCCACCAGGGCTACAGGCATGAAGATATATGGTGTGTTTTATTTAAATGAAAAATGAAATTCTTGATGGTATTCTTAATCTGACTGTGTTCGATTTTCTTGGGGTGAAGGAGGAATTAGGTGGAGATATTTAACTAGGTCCATAACGCATCCATGTTTACAATACATAGGCAAGATTTGTTTTCCCCTTTTTTCTAGGAAAGATGGATCAAAAGAACCAATCGTGGAGATGAGAACAGAGGATGAAAGAATTACTAATCATGAAGATGGGAGCCCAGTAAATGAGCCAAACGAAACCACACCACTAACAGAACCTGAGTATGTACCTTAAAATGCATAAGTATTTTGGATAAGTATTAGAAAGCTGGTTACCCATTATGCTTTGTAAAAATGTATATTTTTAAATGAAAATCAATGGGGATAATTAAAGCTGTTTTCTTCTGAGACATTTAACACGAAAAAATTGTATCAATGTCAGGTGGGAATCTACTGTTGAAACACATATTTGTGATTTTATTCAGAAGTATCAAAAAGACAAAAATAGGTTACAGAATTGGATTTTCCAACACTAATCTTAAAGAAAGGGATACTGTCAAAGAAGTGGTTAATTTTTACTGAAATAAAGACTGTGTCAGGAAAGTAGTCATCATACTGAATGTAAATATGACAGCTTTAAATATAAATACTCTGAAATGTACTCAAGACTACTAAAAAATTATAAAGAGTAAGAAATACTGTCTATCATTTTAACATGTACATAGTAAATAATGCAGTCTCCATCCAAGACAATGTCATTTAATTCTTTTAGTATCATTCATAGCTCTATCAAAAATACAGAAATTCTATTAAACCTGTAAAGATGATGAACATGTTCCTCTGTTCACACACATGAATGTTAAATTGATTAACATCAATGGAATTAGTAAGAGTTAGTAATAGTAGTATTCTGTTGAAAACATTTGATAATGACAAAACCATAGTGGTCAAATACTATAACTACTGTTCACAAAATCACTTTTAATTTTTATTGTTTTTCAAAACAGATATCCCCTTTTCTTTACCAGCTGGCATTTCATTGCACATAAACCTGATGTATTCTAAAGCAAAGGCTGAGTATTGTGATGGCTGAAAAAAAATCTGTTTCAGAAACCCCCCGTAACTGCTCTTGAAGGGGATGAAATGATTAATTTTTACACAAATAAAAAGTCCTACTCTGTAGTTAGAATTTCAGTATAAATTCTGAGGCCTTTTTTAGTTATCGCATTTAGAGATTATTACATTCTAAATTAAGGGAAATTCTAATAAAGGTAGCTTTCACAAGGTAGGTCAGTATCTTTCCCTTCAGAAACCACAAAGTTCTTTAATAAGAGTATACACAGTATAAGTATTGTGTATTAAATAACACATAAACGTTTATATTGGCGTAAAGTTAAGTTTATATTGGAAACTAGTTAAGAAATCCCTTGTATATGGCAGGAATATGTCTGAAAAATCGAAGTGAAACAAACAAAAAGATGATTAAACAACTAATGTTCAACTCAATCCTGGAAGAGAAATATTCAACATAAAAATAATAGAATTAACAATAATTTTTAAATAGATAAACATAAGTCGTGAAAACACTTGAAAATACACCATCCAAGACTTATTTGAAAAAAACTGATGATTACAGTCAGTACATAGTTCTTTGACTAAAAAATGCATTAAGCATCATGCCAACCATCTATCGAAGCTCTCAATGTCTTTACATTTTCATGCTAGAAATGAACTTTTGTTTTTATTGCGTTTTGCTGTCAATGTTTTAGTACCTGGAAACGGGAAAGAACGAACTATGAATATAAATTTATACATAAAAGAGTCTACTGTACTGAGTATAGAGTCCGTTGGTGGTGCAAAGGATTAAAGCCCTAGGCTGCTAACTGAAAGGTTGGTGGTTGGAGTCCACGCAGAGGCTCCTCAGAGGAAAGGCTTGGAAATCTACTTCAGAAAAATCAGCCATTGAAAACCCTATGGAGCACAGTTCTACTCTGACACACATGGGGTCTCCATGAGTCAGAGTTGACTCAAGACAACTGGTTCTGGTAGTAGATACCAAGTAAAGACTCCTTCATTCCCAGCAATGGATTTTATTACATTTTGCTTAAGACTTACTTTGAATGCTAGTTTTTACATGATATCTTTGATCTCCGGAATAAAACGGCTTACCCTTCTTATTCAAAAATATAAAACAAATTGCAAATAAATCCCAGAGTTACTAAGCATAATAAAACTCACTCTCCCATAAAAGAATGAGGTTAGAGTGACAGACCCAAGACCAAGACCCACTGTGCCATTGAGTGGATTCCAACTCATAAAACAGGGTAGAAATACCCCATAGTGTTTCCAAGGAGAGGCTGGTGGATTTGAACTGCTGACCTTTTGGCTGCCAGCCAAACGCTTAACCACTGAGCCACCAGGACTACAGAGTGGTAGAAGTGAATTTAAATTCTAGTTGTAACTTTTTATGGGGTGAGAGGAAATAAACTTTTCCCAAGGAAGGCAAATATTACCACAAGAGCACAAGATTTGATGGTAAACTATTGAACTTCAGAAAGGCAGAAAAAAACTGAAAATCCTGATTCATTGACATTATAGTAAGATTTGCGGAACTGTCTTAATATTAAGAAAGAAAAGTTGTTGTAGTTTTGTAGGTTAAAATTGGAAACAACTCTTCAAAAAATGTGTTCCAAAGTGATACTGAAAGTGGCAAGAAAAAATAATAGCAACTGAGGAAAACATAAGCAGTAAATATAAACAACGGGGAAAATCCTGAACTATATTTATTTGCATTAAGTTCAAAAGAACACTAAAATCTGTAAAAATATCACTAAATCATTCGTCTTATGAATTTTATTTAACAATGTATGACAACTACTAATAGTTTTTACCTGATAAATTTGAGTACTAGTAAATCATCTAGTTTGACATATCAAGTTTGCCTTTTTTTACGTTCCAAAATTCTTAATAATTACAAGTGATTATTAAATCTAAGCCACCTGGTAATGAGAGATTTGGTGCATCTATATCTATAAATATATTATTTCACTTGTTGTTCTGTATTGCATCACATTTTTACAATTAACAATATTGGATTGTTTTATTCTCTTTTCATTATTTTTCTGTCAATTTGGTATTGCTTTAGCAAAAATTATTTTATGTCATTCTAATAAGTAACTCTAAATTCCCAAGACAATTAGCACATTTTTTTCTACAAAACAATAACTTAAATGCTAGGAGATTGTGCTTAAAGTATCTTAGCAAATGAAGTTTATTATTGTTTTTCAATTTCTTTCCAGAAAATTGCCCTTAAAAGAAGAAAATGGCAAAGAGATCTTAAATCCAGAAACTATAGAAATTAAAGTTGCTAATGATATACAATCAAAAGAAGATGACAGCAAAGCATAACGACAAGATGGCAGCAGCTTGAACAACACTACAAACACCATTTGGATTACAGTGACCCTATGACCAAAATTATTCCATTGACCTTAATTTCTTGGGAAACGTTTAGCTTGGAATAGCTTGTACACATATACATATGATCAGAGACTCCTGTCCATGGTTGATTTTCTTCTGTTGTTGTTGTTGGTGTTTATTTTGTTAAAAATTTCAAATATAGAGACCTGACTGGCACCAACACTTGGGTACCAATTTGATTTGATAATTGAAGTACTACAGATTATTATATAGCTAAAGTGCTCCATTTCTTAAGAACTATGATCCATACCACAGCCACTCCAACAAAGAGGGGTATAAGAAAAAACAAAATAGTAAAAAAAAGCTTGTGAGATAAATGTGTAGGAAACCCCTGCATGTTCCTGAGTCTTACCTTAGACAATTAGATTATTAAAGTGGCTTCTCATCTTAAGATGTTGGCACTTAATAAACGTAATACTTTTTATCAGAAGAATTTCAGAAAACCCGGGGTTTAAAGGAGCCAGATTTCCATAGCACGTATTAAAATCGAGAGACACTTTGGAGAATTATTTTTGAGTTATGATTACAGTGCTATTTCAATGTTGATTTTTAATAGAGTGAAGTGCCAGATCAAAATTGTTACCCATTTAAAAAAATATTAGTCATATGTGAAACTAGATTAGAGAGAACCCTAAATTTCTGTCTTTTTATATATGCCATATTCATTCAGAATGGATTATGACAAATATTAAATATACTGCAAATGAAAAGAATATTGATTTCTGCCCTCAGCTTCAAATAAAATAAACTGAAATGGGAACAATATCAATACATTGTCTTGATATATTTATAAATATGTTATTATCTTTTATTTTTTTAATAATCTTACCAAGCAAGTCTCTAGTGTTCAAATACTTAAAATCATAGCCTCAGATGCATTTTTTAGACCATAGTTTAGGTAATCTTTGTTTAAAACTCATATTCCCAGTGGTAAATAGATCAATCATTGAATTTGATTGGCTAAATGGAAATTAAAACCTTCAGATTTATTAAATTATTTGATATTCATACCTATTATAAAAATATCAGTGGAAAACAATTGAATTGCCACTATTTTGTGTTTATTCTGGATGTTGTAGCTAGAAGTCATTTTTAAGATTTTGATAAACAATTTTGGTTGAAGAAATTCTGTAACTATTCAACACCAACTTTCTAATATCATTTGTTAGACCCTAATCCAGAATAAAGTACATATTAACTTCCAAGCTATGCAAGCTCCCAGAGGTAAAAGATTGACATGTGATTTTAACTTATATGTAGGGTAAAAAATGTATTTATTATTATAAATATACAATACCAGTTGGGAGCAGGTTTTAGATTATTTCTTACCCTAGAGAATCAGAAGTTTCTTTAGGCTCCACAACATTCATAACCTTTAGTGGTTCAGGTGGTATTAGCTCAGATATTGACTGGTTGGGGAATGGGTTCCAATAGAATATTGGAGGAATTTTCAACAGTGCAGAGCCAGCTGCTTTGGGGTGTCTCTCTATGGAGATAATTTAATGACCATTAAATGTAATATTAATGCCACTCATAACCACATTTATTTACAAAGTGCTTGAACTGTCAGCCAAGGAGAGACAGTTAATTATATGCCATTCCTCACTTTTTTTTTGGCTGTTAGCAGGACAGAATTGCACATCTGCATGTTAAGGGATAAAATCTCTACAGTGCCCTTGCCGTAATTAAGGCCTTTTAATGAAGAAACTGCTTCCTGATATCCTTTCTGGTATATTCTGAAGAAAAAGTCAAGAATTCCTGTGCCTACCTAGGAACCTGAGTAGTGTCTAAACAAACAAGCTAGATTGGTCCATTTGACAAAGTTGACTAACTGGTCTATTCACGGATTTGAACGTTGCCGTTGAGGTTATGTTTGATCATCTCTTTTGCTTTATGTTACTGTTTCATTTTCTTTTGCACTAATATGCTAAAACTAGCCAAAATACTTGAATTACATTGTGCCAGTGTAAATGGGCTTAGAAAAGTGTCTATGAGGTAATAGCAGTGAAGGTTAATTTTTTTCTGGCTAGAACTCTGTGGTTTTAAACTAAAGATGGTGAAAGAATAGGAAAGCTGGGAAAGAGATTTAGCATGTTTCCTATTGTTACATCTGTTATACTTCAGGAGCAGAAATAATAATAAACGAAATATTTTTGTGTCTTCTCAGTTTGAATGTTTCTGTTTCATTTCTTGGACTTTCCATGTAAAACAATTCATTTGAATATTCTTTTTATATATACTGTTAAATTCCTTGCCACCATGTGGACTAATGATCTAAAATTAAGAGATAAACTGGAGCTAATTGCAGAAAGACTGTTTCAAGTGCACTGTTACAATTTTCTGAATGGTCCTTACCTCTTGTCCTTGAAATCTATGTCATGCAAGAGCAAGGCAATACTGTGATAAGCCTTTTTTTTTTTTTTTCACATTTTAATGGAATGCTCCAAATTACTCTATTTGTAAAAGTTTCTAAGTAAGAGATGGCTTGCAGTCCATTGTAAAATATGAGTAGAACTGGAATAATCAATTTCTTCTTTTCATTCTTATTCTAGACTAAACATATCCATCTAACTGTATAAATGTTATTTTTACTGCCTCAGAGTACTCTTAAGTGTTAGCATAAAATGTCAGAAGAGTTGACTGAATATGAGTACTGTGAAAATGATCTGAACCCTATGCTACTTTAAACCAACAAGCCAAGATCTCACTGAAAATGTTGGTATTTCTTGATAGGCTATGTGCAATTGGGCAATGACAATCTATATTCAACAACATGTAAGAGGAAACAGTAATATCAGCATTTTAACAAAAACGTTCTTTTTAAAACCGACACAAATTAATTTGTCAATGTACTTTGCAATCATTTGCAAAGAAATTTAATTAAAAATTATAATTTCTAAAGATTTATTTATTATTTTTCTTGAATAAAACATATTGCCATTCTGTTGATATTAATGTCTAACATTAATGTAATGTTTCTTAAGTTTTATTTTTAATATTAGTAACTATAGAAGCATTTTTTTCAAAGTCTATTTGATCCAGGCAACATTATCTGAATCTTTGAGCTAAATATTTATATAAATAGAAGGGTTGTGTTAATCAAACTATTTATTTGAATGCCAACAATTAATTGTAACTTTACAATTATATTTTTATTTTATGGTTCTTATTTTAAAGAATTAAGATGCATTTGTGCCTTTGGATTAGCATGACATTGCTTTATTAAAAAAAAACACACACACACACACACCCACAACTTAATCTTTACTGATAGATTTTGCTGGTATCTGTGACACTTGAATGATGCTATTTTATTTTCATTCAGTGAATAAACTAAATTCAAGCTACTTTACCTTAAGTACAAAATTTTAATATAGCAAATTATGCTATGTAATTTATTTTCATTCATGACAAAATTTTTCATTGGATGCACACACACGAAACGTACTTAATTTGTTCTGTATTGATGTTCTAGACAATAAATACATTCTAGATATTGTTGGAATTGAATTCTACCAGTTGAAAGACAAAGACAACAGAGGAGTTTTTAAAATAGGATAAATTACTATGGTGTCATTTGAGTCTACATTACTCATGTTGATATAAATTGCGTTTGGGCTCGTAAAGCATCTTTCATTATTGATAATAAGGTAGTCACTGATGAAAATATATACAATGGAGAAGTGTTAGTAATAATAACTCATCTCTTAATTTAAGAAATATTGGAATATTATAATTATTTATAAAATTTGCAATGTTCTTTTTAATGGAGAGTAGTGAAAATGCTCAATCTGAATCCCTCATAAAGTTCTTTTTCGTTATTGTATCCAGAATGCTTATTCAGTAACATTTATGGGTAGGTAAAATGTTATTTTTCTTTTAATGAGATTGTTAGTATTATTTTTACTTAGAGAAAAAGATTTACATCTTCTCTGTAATCCTTTGAAACATTTTGCCTGGACTCTTAGTGAAATTGCATATGGATGCCTTGACATGCTAAAACGAAACTGTGGAATGTCACAGAAATGAAAGACCCCAATGCTAAAATTAGAATATTTCAAGAAAATATTCTACTTGTGGGTTTCAGTGATGAGTTTAGTTCCGAGATGAAACAATTATAAATAAAAACGTTATAAGTGTCTAAAAATAGTAGTTGCTGAACGAGCATCATTCCCTTCCAGTTTCTTACTTCTCTTAAAAATTGCATTTACTCAAGTAGATGTAAGTGTTCAGCATTATACAGGAATGCTAATAGAGCAATTATTTTCCCTTATATAAAAGTCAGAGGCTTATATATTATGCTAAAGTATGTGTTTATAGCATATTTGATATTCTTACAAATATATTTCACTATTCTCTGTAGTATTTTACCAATAACTTAAATATACTAGTTGGCATTACCTGTTTTAAAATTTTTGTTACAGTTTTAGGATTTTGGCCACATAACCTTCATAATGTTTGTGTAAAATTTACCTTTATTAATTTAAATATTGCTGCTTCAATTTTATTTTCTGATACGAAAACACGTATCTTTCACCATCCGGTGTTAGCCTTTTTGGAAGTGAACCACCAAAACAATGAGTGTTGGTGCATTTCAAATCACAACCAGGCACGACAGACTAGAGACACCAAGAACTGAAGGGATCCTGAAAGGCAGAATGAAATCTTGCATTTGGAATAAATAGGAAAAAGCCAAATGTGAACCGTGCTGGACTAGGGACTAGGAACTTTGCTAAGATGAAAATTAAGGACAATAATACTGATAGAAAGGAGAAAAATTAGTGAAATCCAGAGGAGGAAGTTAACAGAGATAGAACCTTTGATTGAATTTTGCAAATAGGATTTTTTTAGAGGACAACATGCATAATATCCAGTAAATGATACTTTAAAGAACAAACGTATTTTGTTCCAACCCTTAATAAAGGAAT